CATCGTTCGCGCATACATGCTCAGAGGATCATTGTTCGCGAGCTGTGGCACGAAGTGTGCAAGCTGCAGCTACCCCAGTGCAGTGCAGTGCAGGCTTGTTTGCGTTGTGCTGGCTTCTCTTCTGGCACACTGAAACAAGCCATGCCTTGACTCGAATCCCACGCCCGAGTCCTCTGCCCTAAACTCCCGTCTCCACAGGGCATGGCCTTCTGATTGAGGGTGTTCCAGTTGTACCTTGAACGGCACGCGTGGAATGCAGGGCAGATTGGTTGGACAAAAACAGCAGCAGCACCCTCAAATGAACCAGGGGCCGCACATCTTCTGAGTGTAGGAATTGGCCTCGCAAGTATCTGGAGTTCTGCTGGGATGCTTCCATAGTTTTCCGAGGTCTTTTTGTGTTCACAGGTCTTCTGCAATGCTTACAAGGTGCGGCAACGGTATCTCTGCTCGTATTACCGATGTGGGCCCCCACAGCAAGTCTACGTGATGATTTTCCAGGGCTGCACGGGTCTTTTCGGGCCTTGCGTCTTTCGCACAAGGTCTACGTTTGGATTCCACTTTGGATTTCCGTTGCGCTCGGTTCCGAAGTACTTGGGTAGCAGCAAAGGGCCGAAGCCCGGAATGAACCCCAATGTTGCGGTATCTTTGAACGCAAACATAATCTTTGGCGTTTCGGCTTTGGGCGGGTTGACTTGGCTTGGCAGGTAGTTGTATGGATCCCTTGTTGTTTAAACCAGCATCAGCAGCGTCTCCCACTACTACATGGTCGGCAATGCCTGAGAACGGGATCTTTAATGTGCCATTTCTTACCAGGGTACCAGGGCTTCTCAACCGTAAAACCTGAAACTCTTGGCTGCCCAGTTGCAGAGCTGTAGTTGTGCATCTCCACCAGCCTGAGAAGGCTAGCTCGTCTTTATCAACGTACCCAAGAATGTCTTGGCGTTAAGGTTTAGGGTATCTAGGGCCTAGGGTCTACCATGAAGTCGTAAAGCCCATGCTGCATCGGTCATATAGAAGACCAAGACTTCTTCCAACACCGCCACTACTCCTACCATGCTTCCTATGCAATGCAGACAGGCTTCTTTTACCAGCTATCGTGAATAAAACTGCGGGCTGCATGAACTACTCGAAGATCAGGAAACGTACACCCGACGCAAAAAATACATATCTGCACCCCAACAACTTTGGGCGGCTTGGATTCCAGGAAGGAATCCACCGGCGGCTGCAAGAGTCTTAAACAAAAGGGTTGGCAGCTTGACAGTTGTTCCTGACATCCGTTGCGGTTCATCTAGGGTGCATGGATGGACATGAGTAGGGCTATAACTACCCTGAACAGGGCCATAGGTGCTTGTATTGTAGACCCCAGTTGGGATTGCGGATTGTGAGGCAGTTGCCCTTAACCCCTTCAAGGGGCTGAATGATTCTGGGTGAAGAGTCAAGCGGAATCCACACTTCGACCGTGCAGTTGAACCGGCAACCTAAACCCCTTCTCTAAACCCTGAACCCTACAGCAGTTGAAACGCTGGGCCCCCTAAACCCTAACCCCGACCCCAAATTATACAAGCACTCTGAATTTCTGAATGCCATAACCTCCAAACCCTGACCCCTTCGCAGGCCGGGCCTTGGGAAGAAGTGGTTGACCACTTCAGCGAAGAGAACCTGAGTTTGAGCTTTCAGGGCTGCCTTCAAGGCTGCTGCCAGCGACTCAAACCAAGATCACATCTGACTCACGTGGCGACTTCGGGAGCTGCGACCACCACTATAACACTATGACTTGTCTGACATAGTCTTCTTCTTGCTCCTGAAAACCTTTAACCCTTAACTTCTTGCCCCCCTCCATCTTGACAATCCTTGCCTACGAACGAGACGTCAAATCTTCCCTGCACCCCGAAGCAAGATACCCACGCCCTGCAAGCCCAAGCCCCGACGCATTTCCCTGAATCCCCCAAACGAATGTGTTCAAAACCAAGGGCTAAACCCCCCAAGAGACCGAACCCTCCAACCCCAACACTCGGAAGACCAAACCCTGAACCAAAAGCTGAGTCAAACTCTAAACCCAATCACTGTATACTTATACCAAAAGCCCTCTCAGACAGCAGCCCCATCTGCGAAGTCTCGCGAGATATTCCGCTTCGGCCGCGAGAGGGGGATCTCGTCGACCTTTTTGCCGTTGGCTTTCGGGGTTGTTTAGGGTGCTTCGGAGTTTCGGCTTCTGCGGGTGTACTTAAAGGATCATGGGACTTAGAAACTAGGGTTATAATTAGGGTAACTACACTTATAACCCCAATTGAGGTACTTATAACCTTACTTACTAAGTCCCATGATCCTCCAAGTAGGGGTTCAGGATTTAGAGTCTGAGGGAATTGGGCTTTGGGGTTTCGGATTTACGGGTTCAGGGTGTGGTGGTGGTGAGGTTGATGAAAAGACGCGTGGCTGCGCAATCGCAAGGGCTGGGGTTCTAGGGAAGGGAGTTGATGCATTCAAGGGTTCACAGAGGCCGGGCTCTAATGACGGCATCCTTGAAAAAGCCTGTCATTTAGTTTCAGCGGCATCCGGCTTACAAAGGTACGTCCAAGAACATCATAAGCTCTGAAAACCCTAAAACGCAACACCTGTACCTTCAACATAACAACCTGAACTCTGAATCTCCACATCCTGAACCCACCTAAACCCAACTTAAACAAGAAACCTGAGATACCTGCCAAGGGCTTTACAGGGCTAGAACTTTGTCCCCAGGCCATAAAACAAAAGACCCCAAAACCAACTCGAAACCCCGAAGGGAAACCACTAAACCCTGGAGATCCCTTAGAGGAGCCCTTATAGGATACCTTTAAGGAGCCCTTATAGGATCCCTTAAAGGCGCCCTTCTAGGATACCTTTAAAGGGACTCCGGGTTCAGGGACAGGGCCCTGCTTAAAGGATCATGGGACTTAGTAACTAGGGTTATAATTAGGGTAACTATACTTATAACCCCAACTAGGGTACTTATATCCTCCAGTCGCTAGGGTTCCTGTACTTAAGGCTTAGGGTTCCTTTAAAGGGGGCTATATAAGGGTTACTATAAGGGTTTAGTATAGGGGCCTTAATAATGCTTGTGGACTTACTAAGTCCCATGATCCTCCAAGTGGCCCAGTTGTAGAGGCCCTGAAGATCCTCCGTCAAGCGGCTTCGGGATTTCGAGGGCTTAGGCTTTCGGGGGTTTCGGTTTGGGGGTTTTGGGGTTTGGGGGTTTAGGGTTGAAGCTTTCGGGGGCTTCAGTTTGAGGTTTGGGGTTTTGGGGGTTTAGGGTTGAGGCTTTGGGGGTTTCGGTTTGGGGCTTGGGGTGTACGGGTTTAGGGTTTTGGGGTTTGGGGTTTCGGTTGGGCTTTGGGTTTTCAGGTTTGGGTGTACATTGGGCTTTGGATTGCCGGGGTTGAGGATGAGGCCTTCGATTTGCGAATGAAGGTTTAGGCTTCATTGTCTGGTGTTTCTGGGGGCACAGGAGGCGAAGCAGGTGCCCGGTTTGTAATGTTAAAATGCATGGTTCAAACTGGCTTTCATTCACATTTTGGGGAACAGGAGCCCGTGGTGGTGCTGTTAGCTTGCAGCTTACAAGCCCGGAACACCCCTGAATACCTTGATTCAGAGTATAAGGTCCCCACTTCCGCGGTCCCCTGATCCTTCAAGTAGCCCCAAAACATCCTGTAAAGCCACACACTCTAAACCCTAACCCCAACAGCCTTAACCCTGCTTCAACTCCTATCGCGTAATTTAAACCCGAACCCCTAAACACCCAAACGCCCCAAACCCCACACATAAACCCTAAACCCCTAAACACCCTAAGTACTATTCTAATTGTGACTCTGCTTCTCATTATGCTTATGACTATGGTTATGACTTTTTAATTGTAAACACAGCCCCAAACATAAACCCCAAACCATTTGACACCCTAAGTACTCCTTAGTTGCTGAGTTCATAAGCCCAAAAAAAGTGTACACTTCTAGTTGTATAGTGGGTTATATCATCCCAGAAAATGCAAAGTGTATCCACTCAGCTACTCTAGGGGCCTGAATATTTACCTATATTATTTAGGGGGTTCCTTACTTTAATTATAATATAATGGGCCCCGAAACCCTGTTCGAATTATTAAAGCCCCTATAAAGGGAACTCCAGAAAGTTGGAATATGGTTTCAGGGTAGGATACCCTATAATTTACCTTAAAGGGTTTAGGATAATCATATTCCAACTTTCTGGCTTTTACTTTATTGCTAAGCACTCTGTACTCCTCGAAGGAGCCCGGTCCTCATCGGTCTCCAGGGCTGGCGCGATTTGGCACACGAGGGTCATGGACTCCAACCTTGGCAACGAGTCAAGGGTTGAAACCATGGGCCCCTAGTATGGGCCCTGAACCTTGGGATCCTTATATCCTATACGATATACTCTATATAGTCCCAAGAAACCCCTCAAAAAGGCCTAAGGGTCCATGTTAGGGGCCCATACTTCCAACCTTGGCAACGAAAGAGCCTTCGGGAGAGGGGGCCTCGGGTTTAGGGGGCCATTTGGGCTTCGGGATTTTGGGTACAATTTCCGGGTTTTGATGTGTAGGGTTCCGGGTCTAAGTGCAGGGTCGTGGAGTTGGGTCTTGAGCATCGGAATTTGAAGCCCGGCACAACAGCTTCGATCGGTCGGTCACTCACATCCAGGCATTAGTAAGCCCTTGCTGCTTCCCTGTGTCGCACTGCGTCACGCCCTAAACTCCAAACCGCAAATCCTCAACCCTCCTTCAGGACTTCTAGACCGGAGCCTTATACCCTAAGCCACTAACACCGCCATTAGCACATGAACTGAAACTATAAAGCTCCCACAAATCTGAAAACCAACTAATATAGGGGCCTTCATAATGAGAACAGGGTTTTGGGGCCCACACGGAGCCCCCCAAAATAGGTTACTCACCTATATTAAAGCTTTCTCTGCCTGGTTGCGCGCCTTTTTCCTCCCGTCGCCCGTCCTAGGCCGACCTCTCAGGCTGCCTGCGAGGTATTCGTCAGATTGCCCGGCTCCTTGCTGAGTTTTCAAAGCTTGAGGCCCTGTAGTTTTAGAGTTTAGGGTTTTAGGGTTAAACGGTTTAGGGTTTAGGGATGTTAAGTTAGGCCCTGGGAGGGGAGAGGTTCGGAATTTAAGGCTTCGAGGGTTTTCGGTTGAGGAGGAGGAGCTTCTGGCTGGTAATCTGGTTGCTGCGATCTGGCACATGACGATGCTCGAAACAGTGGATAAACTATTCCTCACAGTGCAGCCGGCTAACACCAGTTCATAGCCTTATCTCAATACAACCAAGCCAGCTCATGCTTACGTTACTTCCTGTAGAATAAGAACAACATGCACCCCACCTCTGTTCTACTTCCATCGCCTCACTCTCAGTTCCAAACCTTGTGGTTACGCCAAGGACGAAGCCAACACTCCAAACACGCCGTATGAAACCTAAGCCTTAAATCCCAGCCCGATAACTGCGCTAAAGACGACGCCGAGCATCTCCGCCCGCTGCTAGAGCCTTCAGCGAGAGCCTCGGATATCCAATGACAAGACCCAAACGCATGATGTCCCATGCGAAGGTTTATGAACGAGGGTCTGGTCAAGTCCAGGGCTTCATAAGGTTCACTGAGGGTTGTTCATGAGTTTTGCAAGGTTTTCATGCCGATGATGGAAGTCGAAGAGGGCGATGCTTGAGGACGTAGCGTGGACCATGAGACGAGGCTTCTGCAAAGAACCAGAGAACGGCGTGGGGGGTTAGGCCTGATGATGCCGTTTGTGCCAGAAATACAGTCGTGGATTGAATAGGCTACCACAGTAGCTGCCAGTGTCTCGAAGGCAGCTCAGCCCGTGGTCAAGTACACTATACTGTTATCATTGTTGTTTATCATATTTTAGGTATTACGCTACTATAGCGGCCATAATACTCAGAATAGGGTTTTGGGGCCCAAAGTACTATAGTTATAAATAAAGAACCCCCCAGAATAGTTTAGGTATCATTTAGGCCCCTACACTACGCTAGAAGCCCAGGCTGCAGACAGGGGGCCATGCCCCGGTCGCGGGATACCTGAGCACAGGAATCGATAAGATGATGCTCAAGTTCGAAACCAGGGTTTAGGGTGTAGGGATTCAGGGTTTAGGGCTTAGGGGTTTAGGGTTTAGGGGGTTAGGGTTAAGGATTTGAGGGATCAAGGGGTTCTTCTGTGCAACTTGCATTCAATAACTTCGCCTCCGAGCTTTCCGGACCAACGCTTTACAGAACAATATAACACAATCCATTCTCTTCCAAGCCCTGTGCTGGATGATGGCAGTCTTCGTCGTCCCAGCTTTCCCCAGTGGTGGTGTAGAACTGCAAGCCCGCACAAATCTCTCCGAAGGAAGGCCGAGTGACTGGATCCAATCCACGCCCTGCAGCAGCCCATCTGGTGCATCTCCTTGGGTTTGGGTTTCTGGACCCTCGTTCTCTTTGAGGGCTTTCCGGTTTCACGGCTTTAGATGTTTGGATGCTCTGAGGGTGCACTTCAAGGATCATGGGACTCAGCAACTAGGGTAATAATTAGGGTAGCTATACAAAAAAACCCCAATTGAGGTACTTATAACGTTACTTACTAAGTCCCATGATCCTCCAAGTGAGGGCGCAGGGCTCCGTCTTGGGAGAAGGAGCTTGGAGACTGGGGAGTTTTCTTTTGCGTTCAGAGATTTGACGCTCCGCATCTTGTGTCGGTTTCAGATATTTTCGACTTAATGCCTCGGAACTTTCAGGACTATACTATAATATACTATAACATACTCTAACATACTATAATGTACTTTCATACACTATAATGTACTTTACTATGAACTTTACCAAGCCCCGTGCCATCCTAGCTAAGCTGAGCTTTCACGCTGCTTCCAAGCCGCCCCAGGCCAACGGCCAGCAATGCGGAGGTTCGCCTCAGCTCTTGTTGAGTTGGGGTTCTGTTGAATCCAAACCCTCAACCCTACTTGGAGGATCATGGGACTTAGTAAGTAAGGTTATAAGTACCTTAATGGGGGTTATAAGTATAGTCACCCTAATTATAACCCTAGTTACTAAGTCCCATGATCCTTTAAGTAAACCCTAAACCCCTAAGCCCTAAACCCCTGATTGGTGTACTGTTGAATCCTGAACCCTATAGGCTGAACCCTAGTGAAGAGCAGTCTCGATCACCTCAAGCCTCGAAGCGAAGAGAATAAGTGAGCAACTTCCTAGTCCTACACTCCCCAGGCAAAGTGAAGACCCACTGAACAAAGGTCTGGCATACCGTACACCATAAAGACCCAAACCCTAAAAATGCTTTCGAAAACTCGACCTCCCAGCCCTGCAGCCTGAGACCCGTTGAAGCCTTAAGCCGCGAAACGTAAGAAACACCTTTTGAACCCCAAACCCTCGACCCTCAACTTCTGTCTGAGTAATTTTCGCCCTTTCAGGGCCTTACTTTTCGCATCCCCGCTATAATCCCTTTGATGGTAAGGACTCTCCCAAAATAGGTTCCAGAGCCACCCCTTCCCCCCCAATATGCAGTTTCTTAGGGTTTAGGGCTTTAGGGGGTTAAGGGGTTTTAGGGGGTTTAGGGTTTTAGGGGTTTAGGGTTTTAGGGGTTTAGGGGTTCATAATAACTGTGCTTTGAAAGCCCAGGTCGCAGTTGCAGTTCGAGGCGAAGCGCTCGGGGAAGAGCTTGGGGCCCCCTCGTCCCTGGGAGTTTGGGGGAGTTTGTGGGATGTACAATGTAGGGCTTTGCCCTAGCTTCTTTGGGGGGAGAGGGGGGGGGGGTGGGTGATATTCATGGAGGGTTGGGGGTTCTGCTGAGATTTGAGTGTTTTGGGGCGGTACGCTGCAAGGCTTGGGATGTCGGAAATTTTCCGTTGAGCCGAGGGTTAAGGCTCTGGGGTTGGAAGGTATACCCTCCGAGATTTAGGGCCAATGTAGGGATGTTTAGGAATGTGTTGGGAGTTAGACCAAGCCCTACAAGTTTCGGTGTTTGGGCTTTGGGGGCTTGGTTATACCATGTAGCAGCTGTAGAAAGTTCGGCGCGCAGCTGTCAACATTGGGCTTGAGGGTGTGCCCTATACCCTTGCCAGGCTTGTAGCCTGTAGGGCTCAAGCGCTTATAGGACCCAAGGTTCAAGAAACCTTCAACCCTAAGGAGCTCCCTACATCAACAAATCAGGTCGGGGTTCAGGGCCCAGTCCAGGGCCGTAAGCCCTAAGAGTGAGGTTGGATCGGGAGGCTGCGGCTGAGGTGATTCTAATGCGGAGTGAAACCCTTACACTCGGAAACGCTTGCTTACCCCCTAGAATCAATGGATACAAATAACCAAGCCCAAAGTTTCCCGCTAAATGCCTACTGCCGGCCGAGCGTCCACCTGCGGCCAATGCTCCACTCTGATCTCTGGGTCTGTCCTGCGCAGGAAGACCCCTTACTCGAAGCCCCCAGTCCAGGCAAGATACATCAGTAGAGAAGCTTCGTCCTTCCGCTGCTGCTTCAAATAAGCCCGAGACAAAAGAGCATAGGACTTCGGGCTTCAGTACTCTGGATCAAGCATATATCACCGGTTTCTAGTTCATTGTTGGGATAGGATTAAAAATCTACGTGTTGATTCCTTCTTGGGTTCAAGTACCCCCCCAAAAAAACTGTAATTGGTTACCCAACTATGACAAAGGTTTGTCCTGCTCACAAGTCGGGGCTCTTCTTGCAATGACGAGCCTGACCTGGTTTTGCAGCACTAAACTTCCGTCGACGCTTGAGCTGCACACTTAGGTCCCTCACAAAAACCTCTGCGGCGCCGGTTCTTACGCTCCTTACTATGAGCCATACGCAAAGACAGGGTGTACCCGAACAGATAGCCTTCTTTGTAAAGCAGCTCTTGCTCCAACATCTTGCAAACATCTAAATCTAAAGATAATGGAAGAGGCTCCTTCAACGCCACACCCCAGACTGCAATCTTCAGGTGCTGCCGGGCCTGTGAATCAGGTAGAACCACCGGGTCACGGAGCACATCTGCGCATCGGGTGCCAGCCGACCATCCTTGGTCGAAGTTGGGATCCAACGCCGCGACTGCTAGCAAACAACACCGAAGACTAAGACTAAGACCCTAGGCCTTATATCTATATTAACCCTCTGAATCACGTCGTAAACGAGCCCTAGAAACTCTACCCTCCGTCTTTCAGACCTGAATCGTTGGTTTAGGGTTCGGATCATAGGGGTCTTTGGAGGATCTATCCAGGTCGGCAAACTTCTTTTTTTGCGGCTTTCAGAGAGCGAACCTCTTGAGGCTACATCCTGAAACTCTGAGCTCCACACACTAAACTCACGAGCTTTGAACTCTGAAGTCGAACTCCGAAGCTTTAACCCACAAGCTCTGATAGCAGGCTTTTTGATTCGTAGAGCAGCCCCAAGTCATAGAGTCAGGCTTCAGGGTGTGGGGTTTAGCATCCTGAACTCCTGACTCCTTGATGCAATTCACTTCTTGTCAGGTAGCCTGCTTCCATGCCTGATACTGCCAGGTGTCTGGGCGAAACCTCGGGCTCCAGGGTTCAGTGCTCAAGCTTACGAGCCCCCAGGTCTGCGTCTATGGCTTTACAGTAAGTGTGGAGGTTTATGGTGTAGAGCTTGTGGCCCGAAGGCGGTCAGCTCAAAAGTTCAAAAGTAGTGCTACATGTTACAGTGTTGAATTGCGGCTTAGGGTGTACTGCAAGCCTCCGTCTGTCGCCTCCACACCCCGCACACACACCCCAGACTCGAGTCACGACAATCGTCTACATGCTTTCGCAGGCAACCTCAAAACATGAAGACACTAATCATCCACTTTAGAAGCCCTGAGCCTCCGGAACCTCTGCAATGCAAGCAAACCAAGGTACTTGCCGTGTTATGCAGCCCCATGCCTATCTGTCAACTCAGTTGCACAGTCCAAAGTCATACTCCGCTACACAATCAAGAAAACCAGAAGCTGCTTCAAGTTGCAAGCTTTAATTACCCGCTACCTGGGCGGTTGTCGCAACTACGAGTCGCCATCACACCATAATATGGACTGGGATTCCCAGAGCCCTATCAGGCCTAAAAGCAACGCTTGACATTCTGTACAAACCGTTGAGAACTCTGTCATGTCAAGCCACATGTGCCACCACAGTGGCACACAAACGCCGCCGAACCCCAGGGACACCACTGACCTTGGGCCCGGACCTCCAGTGCCCACTGAAAGTAGGGACCGTCTCACCTCGGAAGGACGCCTGGCCAGCAGGGGACTGTTGTGGATGTGGGAGTTGAGTGCTAAGGTAAACCCGAAACCCCGAACCTCGAGGTTTTGGGATGCTGAAGGTTTTACTATAGCGGTATTCACATACGGGGGCTTCATCCAACCGATGCTAGGATTTGGGGACTTGGTTTCATGACTAAGGTTCCGGGATTTACGCTTTCGGCTTCTTTGAGTAGTGGCCTGCGAAGACGCGGCTCTCAAGTGACTGGGCCCGGGCCCTACATGAGACACCTTGAAACAAGAGCATTTGCCCCGTAACCCCACACCCTAAATCCTAAACCCTAAATCCTGGAAATACCGAGAGCACCGCTGACCATTTACCAAGCCCCTCAGAGGCTCCGACCGATTCGCTTTACAGAAAGGCGAGGGAGGTCTGTAATGTAGGAACCTCATTCGTACCCTGGCCCTATAATGCCAAATATATTAGGATTTATATGAGGAACCCAAATAAAGACCAACGGTTTCTTTATCAGGTTTCTATATTAGGTCTGGTCTGGGGTAAGTCGCCGGCCAGATGCCAGGGCAGACGCTGCTCCGACCACAGGGTTGCTGCTCTTTCAAATGGGACTGCTGATGGACAAAATCCTGCATTGCCCATTATAAGGAATATACCATAGTTCCCATAGTTTAGAGTCCTTAGGGTCATGCAGGATTTTGTCCATCAACAGGATGGCCCTCCATGGTCTGGTCGGCATTGCATGCGGCAACGACCGAGACCTCGATACATCTAGTTACGTTGCATACCTGCTGCAACCTGACTACAAACCCTAATGTAGGAACCTGATTAAGAAACCCTGGGCCTATAACCCCGAAATAGTAGGATTCATATAAGGGACCCCAATAAAGGCCCAAGGTTTCTTCATGAGGTTCCTACATTAATTAAACCCACAACCCTACCGGCGGGAAGCCTCTAGGGCTTCGAGCTTTTCGGCTTAGGCTTTAATGACTTAGATTCGGCCTCCTGCGCCGCCTTCAGCTCACGCTGGAGCCTGCGCACAGGTAAATGCTAAGCATCATGTCGGCCGTTGTCATGACGATAATAATCCTAAAGCGCATCCTGGTAAGAGTCATACTAGTTTTCAGAACCACCACAAAAGACATCGGAAAAGCGTATTTTAAAGCTCTCTATAAGAGCTTCTTCGGGGGACCTACAAAGGGACCCATGTTTTTGGGTTTAGGGCTTCGGCTTGAAGGCAGTGACTTCGCAAAGACTATGGTCTCCTGATAGGGACGCTTTTCTGAAGCACCCGCTGTAGCAGGGTCGCCAGATTAGCTAGGTGCTTTTTGTTGGTTGTCTTTTTGTCCGCTTCCCTTGTGTATGCTCCTTTACCTAGTGAAATAGTGGTATTTGTGCAAATTGGCTTGTACATGAAGGAAACCTCATGTATTGCATTCGCAGCGATCAAGGATCTTAACTGTCTTTAATTTTTTCAGCTGCAAGGTTTTCGGTTGGGTTCTGACATTTACGGGTTTGGCCAAGGTTGCGGCAACTCAGGGATCCAATGACACCTGCTGCTGCGAACATTATTCCCGCAAGCCACATCACAGTATACATAAATATGTCGGTGCAGGATTTTGCCACACTGGCTTATATACAATTGTGAAGACCGTACATTGACTATGGTTTTCGTCTCGTGTATAGACACGCGATCCATTCGCCGTCTTCCGAGAGAGAGAGAGAGAGAGATATATATATATATATATATATGAGAGACGACAAGAAGCACAGATCAAGAAGAAGAGGAAAACGAAAGAACAAGATAAAGTGAGTGCCGCCATTCCCGGGAAGTCGGCAGCTGTCTCCTTGATCCCAGAAACTCAAGTTGGTACAAGTTCGGAAGATCTCAAGAATCCCGAACATCGTGGCACCTCTGCAGGGTGGGAGGCCTTCACGTGCCCCTTGTAACATTAACCCCTATATAGCGCAAGAAACGAACAAAGACAGAAACAAAAAGAGGTCGAGATCAGGCATGGATCCTTATCCGTAACTCGGAGTTTCGCAGTCTGCGGCGCAGGGTTTTGGACAGTGTGTCTGCCAAGCATGTTTGTGACGAGCGGAATGCCGGCAAAATTGGAAGGAGAAAAGGTGAGAATGAAGCGGCATCAGAGCGACAACAGACACGTTTTAAACGGATGAACGTGGTGGGCTTCTAATACTCGCAAGACACTCATAATGACATGTAATATTCGCGATTGTATGTACAAACTGCTTGCAGTTCATGTGTAGTCAGTGTAGTCATACGTGAGGCTATATGCACCATGATACAACTGCAAGAGCTGCGTACAGCTTTACACTACCGACCACCGCACTCTGTACACGCACTGCCTCCGCAGCGGACCGCGCGCCTGGAGTGTCTTGCCCTCCTGAGGCAGCACATGGGCTTGGCTATCACAAGCCCCCAACAATGACAACAGCATGTAGACCAGCTTCTGACCGTGTCTTTACACGTACAAGTTCGTCACATCACATGATCTAACATACAAATGTAGTAGTAAGCGGATTCGGCACACAGCAAGGCACGCCCTGAACCCTGGAACCTTCTTGCCTTCCGGTCTGGGAGCTCTCCAACCCCTGCACACCAAAACAGGCAACCCGAACTCAGGTGTACATCTCAAAAAGCTATAGAATACGCCCCTTGCTTAAAGGATCATGGGACTTAGGTACTTATAACCTTACTTACTACGTCCCATGATCCTCCAAGTGCTCGCAAGTTATATTTCCAGTTCGCCGCCTGAATTGCCTCGCGGAGTTCCGTCGAGCCTGCAGCAGGCACTTAAAGGATCATGGGACTTAGTAACTAGGGTTATAAGTAGGGTAACTATACTTATAACCCATATTAGGGGACTTATAACCCTACTTATAACTACCCATGATCCTCCAAGCATGCTAGCATTCTATGTAAAGGCTTGAAGCGGCTTCTGGAAGGGCTTTGATCAGTCTACGGCTGGTTTTGGTGTTGTTGCGGTCGAGGTTTGAGTTCTGGGGTTTGAATTCTCGTTTTCCTGCGAACGGCTCAAGTGTAAGCCAAGAGCGCGAACCTGCAGTTATGAGGTTTGGGCTTTGAGATTCAGGGAGTTAAAAACACGGACCCCGAAACCTCATAAGTTGCAAATCGAACACTCAACAATCTGAATGCCAAACTGAAAATGTAGTCCAGAGTGACCAGGGTTTTGGCAAACCCTATGCGCTCAACGCCGGCTCCTACCTAAACAACAAGCCCCAAAAGATGTGTGTACATATATACCTATATACATATATATATATATACATACATACATATCACAACTCCTATGAACACGAAGGGCTTGACAGGACCTGTAAACCCGCTAGCCCTGAGCCCTACAAATTCTGAGCCCTGCAGGCCTGGAAACATCGATAAGGCCTATGAGCACTGCCGCACAAATGGGTAGTTGTCAAAATTATGGCCTTTTGGGGTACCCTAGATATTAGGTGCGGTACTATACTAAGGACCCAACAAGGGACCCTAATGCTGACAACCACTGCAGCTAGCCCCAATAGAAAACCGATCAAACTTCTCCGTAATCTACATACACGCTCAACCCTAACCCTACATGCTAACCCTATCCAATCCCATGAAGACCCCTCTATACTTAAAGGGTCATGGGACTTAGTAACTAGGGTTATAACTAGGGTAACTATACTTATAACCCCAATTAAGGTACTTATAACCTTTCTTACTAAGTCCCATGAAGACCCCTGTATAATCTACCCAGGCGCCCACATCCGGATACATCTGGAGCCGCAAACCATCTCCCATTCCTTGAAGGGCATATAGCTTTTGATGGTGCTAGATACTTGGAGGATCATGGGACTTAGTAAGTAAGGTGATAAGTACCCTAATTGGGGTTATAAGTATAGTTGCTCTAATTATCACCTTTGAAAATACTTCGAGGGTGTGGGGACTCAGTGCTTTAGGGGATTTTCGCAGGAATCAAAGGGCTTCCAGCGCAATGTTGGGGTTTGAGGCTTGGTAAGGGTTCAAGAGGTGCTTAGGCTTCAGGGATTTAGGGTTTGGGGGGCTGGCATAGCAGATTCTGGGCCGAAACCATGTGCATTGAAGCCTCATGCCTCGGGCATGAGCTGCAGTCTTCAAGGCGCTTAGACTCTAGACGTAAATGAAGCATCAGGGAGTCGGTAATGCAACGTGCGTAGAATATGCGTGTGTGTATATATATATATATATGTGTGCACATAAGTATATGTATTTATATATACAACGAATATTATACGTACATATACGTGAACAGATACACATGCATATAGATCAAAACACTCTCATGCATATGCATATATGCATACAAGTAAGTCCTGTGCACTGTACAAACTGTACTTCTAGGGCCCCGGACCCCTCCGCAGCAGCCGCTCGAAGTCCAGGGGATACAGACGTTTCTGGTCTCCAGCAAAAGCGACCATTTTTCGCGTCCTAGAGAAGGATGTTTCAGGGTTTAGTATCTACTTAGCAAGCCGGCTTCCTAGCTAGCTGACTAGCGAACGACTCGTAGATAGCTGACTATCTACCATCTACCTATTCGAGCGATCCCTTTCAGTGGCTTGGACCAACGAGACTGTTGCGATATATATATATATATATATATATATATAGAGATTCGGACTCCTGCTTAAGCTTGATGATGCTTCACGCATGGACTCAGCCGGGTCTCGGGCCTGCACTGGCTGAGTCTCACTCAATCTGTCTCCGGGTGTCGTCTCCGTCGCCTGTTCCATCTGAAAGCGCAAAGCGGCAGAATCCCGCACTTGCAGATCCTAAACTGTAAAGCCCTAAACCCTCAACCTTCGAAGCCTTAGACCCGAGTTACCCCGCGACCCTAAACCCAAATAAGTTCATCCCCAGCATCACTTCGTCGAGGAGATTGTCGGCAACATCACGCCGTGACAAGAAGAGGAGGTCCGTGAAGCTGTAGATGACTCCTGGGATTTGGGTTTCACAGTTGGAAACCGGATTAGGGACAATTAGTGCTGGGATTCCTTATACATGGTTCTTAAGGACTGATGCTAATGGGTTTCCAACTTTTGGGCTTCTACTGTAGGTTGCTTTTCTCGGGCTCTCGAAGCAGGAGCTGGAGATGGCTTCGAATTTGTGGCTAGGAGGTCAGAACCTCGGGCGGCTTACGGGTTACGGTCTAGGGTGGGCGAAACCTTCATCGGTTTTAAGGATGCTGTAGACCCTAAACCCTAAACATGTCGGTCTCAAGGATGCTTTCTGGTTCAGGGTTCGGGTGGTGTCGAACACGGAATTAAGCCTTCAGGGCCTAAAGCCTCATCGGCCTCGGCTCCCAGCAAAGAGCCCGATTCTACAGAATCCTATTAGGCCCTATTGTAGAAACCCTGAAGTAGTGTTCTACACAAGAATTCTATAGTAAGGTTCTCAGGAAATGGTGCTATAAAACCCTAAGCAAACATAGGGGCCTTAGGAAGTCGAATAGGGTTTTAGTGCCCATCTTGCCTGGTTATAATTAGTAAGGAACCTTCAGACTAGTATAGGTAATTGTTTAGGCCCCTGCAAAAAAATACCCGTCTTGATCCCTTCTAGTAACCCTTATAGACCCTTTGAAGGGAACCCTATTCCCACTATTCCGGCCCCTAAACCCTAAACCCTAAAACCCTAAACCCGAAAACCCTAAACCCTAAAGCCCTAAACGCTAAACCCTAAAACCCTAAACCTTGCCAGATTGCGTGATGTGAGCACATCCGGGAAGTCGGCCAGATCGATGGGGTCCCGCAAATAAAAATCAGTCCTCTTGGGTGTTTAGGGGTTTAGGAGTTTTGGGTTCTCTTAGGGTTTAGGGTTTAGGGTTTTTGGGAGTTTTGGGTTGTCTTAGGGTTTAGGGTTTAGGGGCTTAGGGTTTGGGGTGCGGGATTCGAGGGGCCTGGGCCTTCGTTTTGGTGTGAGGCTCTGCTGAATTCTCCTTGAGTGCTGATGAAAGACTGCTTGAAACTCAAGATCATGGGTTAGACTTCCTATCTCACATGACACTGCTGTGTGAAGCCTGTTTAGAAGCCCTAAAAGTCCGAAGCCTACCTAAGCAAAGGGATCCAGATTCAGGGTTCAGGGGTTGAGCTTTATGGTTTAGTGCTTAAGCTATTCAGGGTTTAGGGCCGAAGCTACAGTCAACATATACCTTTTCCAGTTTCTAACCATGCACCACCCCCGAAGAGAGAATGATGTTAGAATGTATAATGCTAGATGAAGTGCTCTAATAGATGAACTAGAAGATTACCATCATTATGAAGATTATAAGAAACGAATAAAATTGTGTATTGAGTTTTATTAGTTAGAAGAATTACGAAAATAGTTTGAAGGTGGAAGTATTTTATGTTATGACAGAGTGCCCCCAGATGCCCGTTGCCCCGTGCGGTTTCCATAAGCGCATCAACAGAGTGCGGTAATGGTCTTTTAATTAGTTTGGAAGTGTTGCTCCGCACTTCATTTCTTTTGACAAGCGACGCACCATCCCTAAATCTTCTGATAATTAATGAATTCAATTATTAGAATGTTTGTTTCATCAGTCTAACCATGCCTAAAGACTAGACTTTTTGATACAGAAAGACGGAGAAACCAGATGTAAACCGTGTCGCACGACAAAACATTTTGAAGAGTTTGAGGGCTTAAAGACTTGTAATAGGTGCGCTGAAGCGAAAAGAACATGCTACTGCAAAAGCAAGAACGAGTATAATCAAGCACGGAGAGAGCAGAGGGCAAGGGGGAGCCAATTATGCGAAGAATGCGGACACAAAATAAAACACGAAAGCTGGGATGCTCATTTCCATTCTGCGTTACATCCGAACTCGGAACTACATGCATTAATGAAAGGATATTTAAGAAGGTTATGTGAATTAAGAAAAAGCGGGAAACTAAACGATGACATACAAGCAGAAATCAAGGCAGAATGCGAAAACACAAAAAAGGACATATGCGAACGATTAAATGACCAATTCCCTGAAAACATGTTGATGATGAGCCGCATCTAGAACCAGAACAACCTAGACCCGACATTGATAAAGTGTTTAATCACATTCATCGGTTGCTAATGGATGACGGGCTTTCGGGGGACTACTTTATGTTATTCGGTAAGCATAAGCATAAGGATAGGGGGTGGGTATCGACATTCCTGTTGATAAGCCATATAAGTCTAATGTAGTTATATCCCGTAAGACTTTATAGATTACAACTGCATTATTGTTACTACCTTATCCCTAAACCTTATATTTCGTATTATAGACAAACCATTAGAAAACATCCTTTCCATTTTGTAGGGTTAGGGATTTCGGGTTGGGGAATATGTTTTTTTTTCTATGGGGGTCTTGGCCTATGGGGTTGAGGTTGTTTCTTTTTCTATGTGGTGGTGCATGGTTCTTTTGGTGATTCCATCCTAGGAGTCTTGCTATGCGCCTTCGTGTGGGTCATTTGGTGGGTTTAGGGTTGAGGCATAGGCTGTTATGGTTTGGGTCTTTGGGTGACCTAGGGCCTAGGAGGTGGGCATGGCCAGAAATGGAAACGGTATATGCTAACCGATACAAGGTTTGGCTTTTAAGTTTACGGTTGTCGGGCTCAGGGTCCTCATTTTCATCACCAGGTCAAAGTGCCAGCCCTGCTTTTGCTCGAAGGCCCGCATCATCTCGTAGGACTGCTGCAGCTTGTACCACTGTCGCATGTGCCTGCGAGACTTAGAACTACTGGATGGATCTCGAACTCTACTTAAAGGATCATGGGACTTAGTAACTAGGGTTATGATTACGGTAACTCCAGTTATAACCCCAATTAGGGTACTCATAACCTTACTTGCTAAGTCCCATGATCCTAAGTAAAACCAAAAGACCCTAAAGAGTACAGAATGGCACTAAATAGTTTTACCTTACATAACCTCGAACAACCCCTAAACAGCGCTGAATAACACAAAAGACCTCGGATTGAAGCAGGGGCCCTACAGAGAAGCCGGCGAAGCAGAATGCAACCCAACGTATCCTTTGCCGTCCGGCTGAAGCGGTTTGGGACGTTAAACCTCAAGGGCTAAACCGCAAACTCCAGGCCCTAAACCCCTAAACCCCAGGCCCTGAACCCCTAAACCGCAAACCCCAGCCTCCTAAACCCCTACACCTCTAAACCCCAAACCCTGCACTCTGATAGCCCCTGAAAGTCCGAACACCCCTAAACCCTAAACCCTGAACCCTGAACCCTAAACCCTAAACCCTGAACCCTAAACCCGAACACCCCAAAAACCCTGAAGGCTCGACTCTGAAGCTGAAACCCTGCGCCTTGAAATGCTAAGCTCTACTTAAAGGATCATGGGACTTAGTAACTAGGGTTCCTTAAACGGCTCCTTTAAAGGGATCTACAGGGGTTCTATTATAAGAGTGGTGTTAGGGTCTGCTTAAAGGATCATGGGACTTAGTAACTCGGGTTCCTGAAAAGGCTCCTGTAAAGGGATCTACAGGGGTTCTATAGTATAAGAGTGGTGTTAGGGTCTACTTAAAGGATCATGGGACTTAGTAACTAGGGTTATACTTAGGGTAACTGTACTTATAACCCCAATTAGGGTACTTATAACCTTACTTACTAAGTCCCATGGTCCTCCAAGTAAGCTCTAAGCCGTACAGATCTCTAGTAAGCCCTATGGATCTAGTCTACACATAGGGTTTACTGTCTACTGTAGATGTACAGCAAATCTTGCGAGTACGTCCCCCAAAACCACAAGTACGCTTTTTAGCGAGACTGGCCTTGATCTCACGGCTCTCTCGAAGTCCTCTCTTTCATCTCTCTGCAGGCTGCTTTAGCTTTCAGGGCTTCAGGTGTTCAGGATGTCAGGCTTCACGTTTTGTGGGGCTGTGTATGGGGCCCAGACTTCACTGTCAAGTCTCGAGGGTCCCGGGTGTGAGGAGTGGTGCTTTAACAATTGCCCGGATTGTTGTCAAGGGCATTCGGGGTTGCTTGGGGTTCAGTTTAGGGATCTTGTGATGTAGGGTTATGTGGCTTGGCACTTCCAGGCCTTGACACAAGAATGGTTTTGGCGTGGGTGGGTTACTGTTTCCTGGATGTGGTTTGATGAAGGTTTGTAACTCAGGGTCCCCCACGAAGGCCACGTTGGATTTCCGGCTGTGGGGTTCAGGAATCCTGTGTAATTCGAAATTCGAGGCTCGTCGAAATCCAGCAGCGGAGGATCTGCAGGGCCTCATGAAATTCCTATCACTTGATGCTTGAACTACTGCTCTTCGTTTACATCGGGAAGCATTAAGAGCCATAAGGCCGCTTCAGTGCGAGACGGCCTGTAGGACTCCTTCAGGAAAGGGGGCGCATACTTAAAGGATCATAGGACTTATAGTAACTAGGGCTATAATTAGGGTCACCTTACTTATAACCCCAATTAGGTACTTGTAACCGTACTTACTAAGTCCCA